TCCCCTCCCCCTCCCTGTCCCCTCCCCCCCCTCCTTCCGGTCTTCAGGAGCTCACACCTTCCAAAAATGGGTAGTTTGCGGAATCCCTGTTCGTCGGTGTGTTTGAAGTTTTGGTTCATTCGTTAGCAAACGAACTATGTGATATTTATTCGCGTCAGATTCCCAAATTTGGTATGGTGCCCCACATATTCCTGCATTTTGCATGGTAACCCCCCTTATGCTTCCATTTTGTAATTGTACCCCCCATACTCCTGCATTTTGTACCGCCCTCATGCTTCCATTTTGCAATTGGACCCCCCATATTCCTGCATTTTGTACCCCTCTTGTTCATGTATTTGGTAATTGTACCCCTCCTTCCCCCCCCCGCTTCGCCCAATATTCTTGCTTTTTTTGTATGGTACCCCTACTACCCCTCAATGTTCCTGCATTTTGCATGGTACCCCCCCCATATGCTTCCATTTTGTAATTGTAACCCCGATAATCCTGCATTTTCATATTCCTTCATTTGTACCCCGTATGTATATTCATGCATTTTGTACCTTTCCCCCTCCCCCCCCCCCCCCCCCACACACAACAAAATCACCGTAACGTGTGGGTTGTTTGTGTGCCGTTGTTGCGGTGTGGGCATTGACAACTACTCAGGTCTTGCCAGACAAAACCATATGGTTAACGAATCTGGTCGGAAATGTAGTGGAGGTGGTTACAAGAGAGAAGTCGTCCAGGTACACAATCGATGAGCGTCAGATCAAGGGATCTAACGGCAGCTGGTGGTACAAATTGATGACAGTCCCCTTGTTCTTGTTTCAGGTGTGTGAGACTCTTTTCTTCTCTCTCTCGCTCTCTCTTTTCTTGTTGCTTCCATCGCTCTCTCTCCTGCCTCTTGCTGTGAGGCCTGTTTTTGCGGTACTCAAATGAAAGCTATATTTAATAATTTAAGAAAATGAAAGCGTTATTTGAAGTTTTAATTTTCAAATCACGTCCCGGTTGTTGTATTTGTGTCGCTTTCCCTTCTTTCTTTCTTTCTTTTTTAGTTCTCCCTTTTTTATTTGGTTCACCGAACGTCAAGTGGAACCGAGCCTGAGGGGGTGGATACCTCTTCATTCTCCACCCCCTCTTCATTCTCTTTGTGTCTGGGAATGAAGGTGGCTCTCATCTAGCCATTTGCATGCAGTG